ACAAAAATACCCGTTTTTATCATCTCGAAACGGTGATTCGTAGAAGCAGCAACAAAATAAAAAATCTTTTTTTATAAATAAATAAAAAATATCTTTACTAACTCAAGATGCCTCTCAAGTGACACCACATTCTCTTTTTAGAAAATAGATTTAATTTTGATCTATCAACCATAATGTAAATTTTTATATATTATAATTTAGTCATACATTATCAAATTATTGAAGAAGTGTAGCCATCGTAATCTCTTAGAGAGAGATACAAATATAATTAGTTTAGTCTCACCTAATAGCTTAAGCTCCTCACCTAATGCCTTAAAATTTTGACTTAAAATGACGTTTATCATGGTATCAGAGCTTCAGTGACCACGAGGTCACAAGTTCGATCCTCAACATCCCCTACTTTTAGTTGGAATTAAGAAAAGCACAGGGCAGATCAAAAAAATGGACTTGTGCAGCACAAGGCAGACCAAAAATAGGCTTGTGCAGCACAAGGCAGACAAAAAATGAGCTTATGTCATATCCACACTTCAAAGCCCAAAGTGCTCTTACGTGAGAAGATGCGTTAGAGAGAGATACAAAATAATTAATTTAGCCTCACCTAATCTCTTAAGATTTTTGGTTAAAATGATGCTTAGCATAATCAAACTTAAGACAAGTCGATTCTCATTTTTTCTTGGTGTACCAATATTGTTAAATAATAATGTTAAAAAATTTTATTCTAACAATTGATTAATGCATTAGCCGAAAGTATGCATGCTCCTATCGTTAGGGTATAGCTTACCTAATACTTACATTCATAAACCTTTTTCGCCATTTATGTTCAAATTGTTTATTTTGTGCAAGGACGAACGTGAATATCATAAATTTGACAAAACCTGAATTATGATCCAGACTCATAAGTTGTGACGCATAACAACTTTCACAAGATAAAGTCCTTTATAATGTATTAAATTAACGTGGCACAGAAAAAGGTGCTGAATAGCTAGAAATAAAGAAAAAAGATGATTTCACAAGTATTTGTAAAGAAGGTTTAAATCTTGAACAGATTCAAAAGGATTCGAGTGAAGTTTAGTTGTTATAATTATACGATTAACTTAAAAATTTGTAAGGCTGTGAAGGAGTTTGGGTGTGTAATTTTACTCCCAAATCAAATTCATGGCTATTTGACCTAAATGGAGAAAAATTAATGGGAATTTAAAAAAAAAAAAAAAGGTTAAATTGTGATCCATGTATTTAATTGCCTACCCAACTACCATGAGTCCATGACAGTAAGTGGGCACAGAGATTCATCTTATTTTGGGGTCAGTAACCACTAACCAGTACAAACTTTTAACTCCAATTTACAGCTCTTGAAGCAGAGGTGTAATATATTGGAAGAAGTGGCATAGACATATATAAGAGTTTAGCAGAGGAGCTTGGGACAAATATTTATTGGTCTTCTCTGGGAGGGTGGAGGTAGGTTGCACTTTTATTTTTGGCCTTGGAATGATCCAACTACTTAGCCAGTAATAGCTCTATTATGTTTTTTTTTTATTATTTATTGTGGGATCTACTATACCCCTGCTATGGCTTTTTAACTTTTAATGTCATACTTGCATGATGCATGTGCAAATTAATTATTATCAGCTGTCAATGGGATCAACTTTAGTGTGTCAATGTATATGCTAGCAATATTCAAATCACATTTGGCTTGCTTTGGCTAGTCTTCAAATAAATGGAAGGTGCCAAGAATCATCAACTTATTTCTCTAGTTATACTCTTATTCTGTCTAAGGACAGAGATGTCTAGCTCAATAGATTAATGAGTTTTTTTTAGATCTAGCTAGGTACTCTTTCTAAAATATTTATGAGTCTTGAGTTTAGCATATCATTATACACAAAGAAATAAAAGACAACTTTTGACAAAGGGGTGATGTGTGTGCACAATAATAGCATAACAATAATAGAGAGTAAATAATCGTATGTGTAGATTTTACCTCTTATTTATAGAATTTACCTCTGGGTACTAGAATTCTGTTTGTATTAAGATTGATATCTTTAATGAATATCATCATTTAATTATATCAGATTTTATTTGAATTGCTCCTTATTGAGCCATATAATAAACGAGTCTCACATATAACTCCATAACAACTCTCTCATCTTTTACTTATATAATTTTTTATTGAATGACTTTCTTACAAAATTTATTATTGAATTGAAAGCTTCATTAATTTTATTTTTTTGTTAACCTTCTGTGTGGGGTTAGGATAAGAGTTTGTTCCGCGTTCTGAATCTGACATAGGTGCAAAGAGATCCCCATGTCCTCAGATGAATATTTGTATTCCTCACTTCGGATTTCTAGATAAATCAGACAGCAACAGAAGCCCTGAATATTGAAGCTTGGAACTTCTATGCATACAGTAGACATTTTGAGTCATAAAGAAGCAAAGAAATAATAACAAAGCAATGATTATGATTAGCTACATTTGATATATTAAGTATGATTCGATTATTTAATGGGTTGGTCGAATAAATTCAATTTCAATCATATTTTGTATTTTTTGTGTGATGTATTTGTGTTTGTGGCTCATCAAGCATCATCGAATATCATATTTGTGATGTATTTTAAATTTGATTGATTGTTTGTTAAGTTTTTATTCATTAATTTTTAAGACTGATTTGATTTTAAATTTTTATTTTATTTTTTAAGTTATTTATTTTTGGTTAATTTATAATCGGTGTATAAGAGAATATTTTAAATTTATATAAATATTTTATATTAAGGCCCATATATTCATTGTTAGGGCTGATTTATGATTTTAAATTAAATACTTTAATAACTATAATTTAGAAAGATTTTTCTTTTCCTATCCCAATTTTTTTTAGCCATTTTTTCCAAACGCTTTTTTAGTAGTCTCATTTCGTCTAACAATTGTGGCTTTCATTATGCTTCTACGTTTGTGATAGATCTTTTGATTTATGTGTAAAATGCTCTAACCGCAACCCAAATACCAAATTAATCTGCTAATCAAAGGGTTTAATAATTTCAAACCTGCGAGTAGATCAACTAATATAATGGCTCATTCATTGTCAACCTAATAAACATATATAATCTCCAAACAGTACCGGAAATGATGCACATTATTAATAGATCTCCACACGAAATAATCTTTGTTGGAGTTGACATGCCTCATTTGTTAGTCATGCATGCATATGGGAATATGCAAGAAAAGTGGCCATGTTCAAAGGGCAATACATTTCTCTTCCCTGAGACTTGTGTGAAATTTTCAAGACCCTATTAACAAAGTTTTTCAGGCGCGTTTGTTTTTTAGATTTATGGAGAAGTGATATTGAGAATCTTATCTATCACTTTTTAGTATAAATATTATGAATTTCTTTTTTTGAGAATATGATTTTCTCAAAATTCTGATTTGTGAACACTTCAAGAATACCATCAACAATGATATTCTTAAATTCTTGAAGTATTTTGGCCTTCGCGTCACTATTGTGACGATGACGCCACTAGCACAAGTCTTCAAGCAATATTTTCTTTCTGGTATGATAGTGCTAGCAGTGCAATTTTTAAAATATTTTATATTTCTAGTAATATTAAACAATAATCAAACATAAAATCAGAAAATTTGAACAAATATTTATGGTAATATTTCGTACTTACCTTTGTTTACAATTCTATAAGATCATTAGATCGGAATCTCAACTAATATTTATCTTTCTCTCTGCTCTTTAGATTCTGATCTAACGATGTTGGAGGGTGATAGATAAAGATAGAAAAAAAAAAGATAGGTAGAATAATTTATCCCTTTTGATAATCATGATTTCTCACAAAAAAAAAAAAAAATTCTTTACCGAACGCGTTATTCTCTTGAACCAAAAATATTTCAGGAAAAAAGAAAGAAAGGCAAAAGGGACACTTCCTGATTTCTGTTGTTTATGGTTATTAGTATTAAATGTTGAGGTTTGTATTTGTCCTTTAACATGACACAACAAACTTTTTTACACACATAATACTTTGTAGGATTCACATTTTTTGAAGAAAAAAAAAAAAAGAAAAAAAAATTACGGCACACAAAATGAATCTCTATAATATTACACAGTCATTTTTCTTACCACGTAACTCTTATAAAAGCTTTAAATATTAATGACTGCTAAGACAAGTACTGGGGACAGTTGAGAGAGAGAGTTATTTTGTTTTTTTTATATAAACGAGAGAGAGAGTTATTTACATATATTTGGTGGCATATTAAATAAAGAGCTTTATTACTCTTGGCGGTGAGCGAGCTGTCTTTGAATAAAAATGGTGATGTGATCATAAAACACAATGCCGAATCCAACGGTACCTTGACCTTCATTTCCACATTAAATGCGTTCTTCGTTTATTGTTTCAGCCTTTCTAAAATTGTACCGCAATTGGAAAGTTGTGTTGTTTAGGTATAGAAATTGGTTATTCACTTAAGTCTTGCTTTAATCTAAGGTCTGAGTTTAATTTAATATTTGACAAGTGTTTTTTTTCCCCCTTAAACTTGATTTGGTCTTCTTAAATTAAAATTTGACATGATTTAAAAACTTATTTGAATTTTAGCTTGATCTTAAATATCAATCAAGTCGTTTTACTAGTACTTTAATCTCTCATCCCTCTCCCTAATAACATTGACACATTTATTTGTTTTAGAAAATAGATAATAATCGGAAATTGAGATTCCTAATAACATTGACACATTTCTCGTTATATTGATAGATAATGCGCATGATGATTCTATTCTTTTTTAATTATCTCGCTAATAATTATTTCTTAAAATTATTTAATAAGATAAAAATATCAACATATTTATTTTGAGAATAAATTTTAAAAACTTAAGGATGCTCCAATAAATTTCATTTTTAGTTATTTATTTAAAAAAAAATATTTTAAAAACATCCGTACAGAGAGGATGTATTTTAAGTATTTATATGGTATAGACACACAAAACAAGGCCAACCAGAGATAGCCACTTAGAGGTTGTGAAGAAGCTGCAGCTTCAGTGAGAGAGTGCTCATCCGTGGCCATTGAGACTCAATGGCATCTGTTTTTGCAGTTAAATTCTTTCTGTGCACAGTTCTATGGCTCTTCAACTTTCTACCTCCTTGTCAAGGTTTTATTTTATTTTATTTTATTTTTAAATTTTATTTGGGGTATATACTCCGTCAAATGTTTATCATTGTCTCCAGCAACTATATACTTCATATATCAACACCTTACATTTTGAAATTCCATCTTGTTCTTTTGTGTACAAACTCTATGATATTTATGTTTTCAATAATTCTCCCTTGAAATCTGTTTTTCCCTTCAAGAGCATATATTATACAAGATTAGATCACACACACAAAATATTCAATTTGCTAACTTTTGAACAAGAATAATAGATCACATTCATATGCTGCTGTTTTTTCTTAACTAAAAAAAAAAAAAAAAAAAATGTAATGCCATTTCTCTTAACAAATTCTATATCTTTAGGGAGATTGTGTGTGATCACCACTATAATTGACCAGCAAATTTCACTGCAGGTAAACAGAACTGGAATGGAAATGGATATGGATATCCATTTATTAGAAAAGCAAGCTCATTCTCATCTTCACCATCAGTTTCAACCACCACAAGCAATAATGGCTATGACTACATAATAGTGGGAGGGGGCACAGCTGGGTGCCCTTTGGCTGCAACACTCTCTCAGAACTTTAATGTTCTTCTGCTTGAAAGAGGAGGAGTCCCTTTCAACAACCCCAATGTGTCCTTTCTAGAGAACTTCCACATTACCTTAGCGGACACGTCACCAACTTCAGCTTCCCAATTCTTCATTTCAACAGACGGAGTCCTCAATGCAAGGGCAAGGGTGTTGGGTGGTGGCACTTCCATTAATGCTGGTTTCTACACTAGAGCAAGTCCAAGGTAACCTTTCATTTTACTCACTATTCATTCTTTCATTTTTAGTTCCTTTTTTTTTATTTTTTAATCATTATACTGCAAGCATATGTTGGATGATTTTCTTTTCTTAAATGATCTTGTTAACATTATTTCAATACGAATTCAAATAAAATTTGACAATTTTAAGTATAATTATAAAAGAATGTTATATTTACAAATTTTTTGTTTACAAACTACATTAAGTATGACCGATCATACTTCAATCAAGAGTGTATAACTGATCATACTTAGTTAATTTGTAAAAAAAAATTTATAAACGGATCCTTTTTTCAATGATTATATATCTATTTTTCCAAAAAATCACTTAATATTGTTTTTTATCTAAGATAACTATTTACTTTTATTCAAGTGATTCTACGCGTACACAACTTAAAAACTAGCACGTGAGGATGTTCATAAAGCTGCAAGTTTCCAACAACTTTCTTTGATGGCTAGAAAAGGAAATTGATTGGTAGACTAGAAAAAAACGTTTCACTATAATAGTAAGCTTCCATTAATATTTATATTTCTTATTTTTTATCTTATTATTAAATCATGTGGATAAAGAATTAAATTATTGTTACAATGTAACTCTCTTTTACTATTTTTAACGAACAAATATTGAATACAAATTTTCTTGTTCAACAATGAAGTCGGCGAAACTGTCTCGGTCTGTTAAAAACTAATTCACTCGTGTGATTCATCTGGAAGAGAATAGGGAAAATGAAAACAGAAAAAAGTAAACTTAGTTTGATTTGATATCTTCTTAAAAACGAAATGAATAATTAGTTAATTAATTTTGTTTAAATTTTTTTATGAAAAGATATTTCTTAAACTATTCACTTCCAATTTTACAAAATAATGAGCTCACTTTAAAAAATAAATTCACAAGAGAGTGAACATTTTAAGTTGTCAATAACCTTATATATCTTGATTGATAACATCAGTTTTTATAGAAAGCACTAACAGAGCTCAATATCTAATAAAATAATAGATATTAACAAATAACTATTACTTTGAACTCAATCGCCGTATTACGAAAAAGATACCGAAAATAATTCTAATATAACATGCTTGTTAAATTTATTTTTGTGGGTTTTTTTTCTTCTAATAACATGGAAAGAAACATGAGAGAAGAAATCAAATTTCATTTAGTTTACTTTTCACTAGTTCCTTTGTCTTGATATTTTTGCTAGTACACATATCATCACAAATAGTATAATAATGAGTCAAGTATTATTTTTAAGAAGATCAAATTTAATATTTAACTTTTGGTATTTTAATTATCTTAATATATGAATCCATGAAAAAGTAAATGTGGGATAAATTAAACAACAAATTGACTAAAATCAAATAAACATTGGATTTAAATGGAAAACTAAATCCACTATTAACTAGCAATTTTTAGTTACGTAAGTCCAATTTACTAATGTTTAACATTTGGGTTTGACTATATTAACTAATTGTATCAATCTGTATTCATTCTTTTTTTTCTTTTTTTTTTGGTAAATCTGTATTCATTCTTAGTTAAACTTAACATTGTTCTTCACACTTTATCAAAACCGGCTCTATCATTGATCCAGTCGAGGTATTGGGTCAATGGTTCAACTAATGAACCACTGATTCAACCTCATGACCCGGTAATAATATGCAATTTTATAATTTTTATTAAAAAATTATAAACATACTCAAATATCTATAAAAATGATAAAATTTTAAATATTTTAATACAAGAAATAATAGATCACATGTTATTATCCAATAAAAGATCAAACAAAAATATAATGATCGTGATACGGGGCTTCATGTTAGTAAACGACATTTATAACTATAAATCAAATCAAAATTTTCTGCATGGTGCATAATTGAGACAATATTAATGTTGTAGGTACATAACTTATGTAAATCAATAAGTCAAAAAATATTCAAATATGTCAATTATGATTTTTTTTTTTTTGAATTTTTTTTTGGGACCGGGCCGGGTCATACCGGTTCTGATGCATAGCCAGTCCGTTGCTTCAACCGGACCGATTTACCGGTTCCTGGATTGACCCGATCGGATCGGTCCGATTTTATTAAAATTGCACTAAATGATTAATTTAATATTAAAATTAAATATTAAATAAAAATTTTAATGAATTTTTAATTAAATAATAAAAATAATGTCACTTATAGTTTTCAATAAGAAAAATGAAAATGAAAATTTTCTCTTTAAATATTATAAAATGATACTCACAGACGTGCATACCACATACAATTGTATCATCTGCCTTCAAGTATTAAGTATTAAAATTATAAATATGTTTGTATCAAGCACTAACAATATAAATATGTTTGCACTAACATGTTAAATTCATTTGTGTGCTTATGTCCAGACATCATCTTATTCAACCTTAGTCCTTAGATAACATAGGAGGGAGGGGTTATGGCTTTTCTTTTCTCACTCTTTCATTATCATTAGGTTTTGTTGCTTAATTATTCTTTCTGTTTTTTTTTTTTTTTTACAAAACAAATTGTGTAGAGGGGTTAACATTAGATATGTCGTGTACCAGAAAAACAAAGGGGGCACAACTATGTAGTCCTTTCAACTTGAAAGATTTATATGGGTGCTGATATTTCCTATTTAATTAAATTATACCTTAAGAAAAATAGTTGTATCACTACATCAGAAGTAATGGACCAAGCTGATAAAAAGGAGAGGAAATGGTGTCTATGAAAATTACCCCAAAATAAAGATTTTTGTCTTCCGATTGGAATCTGGTTACTTATGGCTATTCTGGGGACCCTATCAATTTATATTCACACATCACAATATTTATGATTACATATATTTTCATAAAATTCCCATTTCATCAATTTAATGCTCTTTGTGGTCCTTGGTAACACTTTCATTACGGGGAAGTGATTAGGTGGGAGTGTCAGATTGGGGAAACAAATAAGAAGTCATTCAATTTGTTTTAAGGAAGTTTTGTTTTTTTCGGTAAAATCATCAAAGTGCTCTTTAGACCCGGTCTGGTATCCAATTCAAAAACAAAATTTCAATGCAACCGATGCACTGAAGTCGTCTATATCGAAGATTTTTTCCCAATTCACATATTTCTTGCATAGTTCTTTATAAAAAAATACCATCCCATGCCTTAATAATTTTACTTTTAAATTTAGATAAATTAGTAGAAAATGTTTTATATATGTAAGATATGTAATATCAAATTATTTTCTATATATGTAAGATATGTAATATCAAATTATTCATGGCATGGTCTCAAAAAATTAAATTTTAATCATTGTATCTATTCTTTTTAATGAAAACTTGAATCTTAATGCAAGCTATATGACATACACATTTTGCATTGTTCACGTCTCAAACTCAAAAAGATTCCAAAATGGATGAGTGTGTATATTATCCACATTTAAAACCCAGCGATACTTGAATGAGTGGGCGATTTATAAATATACAGTTTGTATATTGTTCACGCTCCTTACAAAGTTAGGAAGGATCACCGATCTTTGGTTATAAATATAACAAATTTTTATAAACTTCTATATATTAGGGAAATGTTATATTGACAAAAAAAAAATTACAAACTCACAAATTACATTATGTCTTACTGATAATACATAGTATAATTTGTGAGTTTGTAAAAAAAAATTGTCAATATAACTCTTCTATGTATATTAATAATATTATAAATATACTTGATGTGATTTTGTATCTGTCCAAGATTGATCTCTGATCTCTACGAATTTCTCAAATAGGTAAATGTGAAGAGTGACTCTCTAAAATTGACGTGTTTGAGGCAACAATCTAGCAATAATCATATTCGTCGAAAACATTAACATAATTCAAACATGTCTTCTCTTAATATTTCTACACTGAAATGCAGATTTATAGAGAAGGTGGGGTGGGATGCCAAGCTAGTAAATCAGTCTTATCCTTGGGTTGAGAAGCAGATTGTTCACCGTCCAAAGTTTTCACCATGGCAGAGAGCAGCAAGGGACAGCCTTCTAGATGCCGGTGTGTCCCCTTTTAATGGATTCACCTATGATCATAAGTATGGAACCAAAGTTGGTGGAACCATTTTTGACAGATTTGGACGCCGCCACACAGCTGCTGAATTGCTTGCTTCTGGGAATCATGACAAACTTACTGTTTTAATCCATGCCACTGTACAAAATATTGTTTTTGATACAAAAGGTACATATTTTTTTTTTAATATCAAAGATTACTACTTTATAAAGTTTAGCAGTTTAGGCCTCAGAGTGGCTTATGCTAATGTTGCAGGAAAAAGACCAAAAGCTATGGGGGTTATTTTCAAGGATGAGAATGGGAAACAGCATCAGGCAATCCTGAGAAATGATAGGCAGAGTGAAGTGATTGTGACTAGTGGAGCAATTGGAACTCCTCAATTGCTATTGCTGAGTGGAATTGGCCCAAAAGAAGAACTTCAAAACTTAAACATCCCTGTGGTGTTTGATAACCAATTTGTTGGGAAGGGTATGGCTGATAACCCCATGAATACAATTTTTGTTCCTTCAAAGAGACCAATTCAGCAGTCACTCATAGAAACTGTTGGTATTACGAATTTGGGTGTGTACATTGAGACTAGCTGTGGGTTCGGGCAGTCCAACGATAGCATTCACTGTCACCATGGTATCTCCTCGGCTGAGGTATGTAATATATTCGCTAAATTTACTTATTATGGGTACAAATCATGTGGAGCATATTGGAATGCGTAACAATTAGAATCCTAATGCAACTTAGCTGTTTGTAAAAGAACCACTCCAACCCAAAACCTTAAGGTGTTAGGTGAGGGTCTTTTTAATATTTTTTATTTTATTCTCTAACACACCATTTCACGCAAGAGCCCTTTGGACTTGAAGCGTGGACATGGCACAAGCCCATTTTTTGGTCTGCCTTGTGTTTTTCTTAATTCCACCTGAAAGTGGAAGCAGTGAGGATCGAACTCGCAACCTCGTGGTCACTCAAGCTCTGATACCATATAAAAAATCAATTCAACCAAAAAACTTAAGCTGTTGGGTGAGGCTACCTTAATGGTTTTATATATGTCAAGAATCAATCATAACTAAAAAACCACTGAGCAAACTAACTAGATATTGGTCTGACATTGCATACATAATAACAAGGTCCCTAGAAACCTGCATAGTAGATCAGCAACTAATAAGCAACTTTTACATGAAAAACCAGATTGGGCAGCTTTCCACAATTCCTCCAAAGCAAAGATCACAAGAAGCTGTTCAAGCTTTTGTCAAGAGAAAGAAAGACCTACCAGTGGAAGCATTCAGGGGAGGCTTCATCTTGTCAAAAGTTGGCAGTGCTTGGTCAACAGGTGAACTCAGGTTGATTAACACCAATGTGGAGGACAACCCTGCTGTTACCTTCAACTACTTCAATCACCCATATGATCTTCAGCGCTGTGTGGAGGGAATCCGCTTAGCAACCAAGGTTGTTCAGTCACAGCACTTCACAAACTACACTATGTGTGATAGGCAAACTACAGAGAGTCTGCTTAACCTTACTGTGAAGGCTAATGTCAACCTTATACCCAAGCATGTCAATGACACAAAGTCACTAGAGCAGTTTTGCAAGGACACTGTGATCACAATTTGGCACTACCATGGTGGGTGCCATGTGGGGAAGGTAGTCAACCCTGATTATAAGGTTCTTGGTGTTGAAAGACTCCGTGTGGTAGATGGTTCAACATTTACTGAGTCACCAGGAACCAATCCTCAAGCTACTGTGATGATGATGGGCAGGTATGTACATAAAGAACATAACACTGAGAAAATTAACAAGTTTGGATTTGGATAAACTTTCTCATCATGAAAGCTACGGTACCAAATTACCAATAAATAATAGTCTTCACCTTTTGCATGCTAATTATATATTTATATCTGTTACAGGTACATGGGATTGAAGATCTTAAGAGATAGGTTGGGGAAATTGGCTGGTATATAAGGAAGCGTATGTAATATGAAGATCATCTCAAGAAAAATGTGGAAAAAAAAAGTGTAATGTGAAGACTAGAAGAACAATATTAGTTGTAGGACTGGAAATTAATGTATTTTATTTGTTAGTTGTCAGTGAAGAGTGATTGTTAAATGACTCTGTGAACACCGTATTTGTCCTCTGTCTTCATTTTTGTTTATTCTGTCAAAAAGAAATGAATCAAAAATTAAAAATGAATGGGGAAAATGACAACTCTGGGTCCTGCCTTCTCAACTATGTGCAGCGCTCAAGCAGCCTTGCATCATCAAAATTTAAGCAAAAACATAATCCAATCAAATGAGAAAGAAAAAAAGATGTTTGAGAAATAAAAATCATAATAGAATATGCCTTGTGAACTCTGCACTAGGCAAAATCAACAGAGAACAAAATAACAAAGGTTGGGATTTCATCCTTTAAGTTCACACAAAAAAATCAAATGAAAGGGGGATTCCTTCTGAATGAACACGACACACCTCAAAACATTAGAAAAAAATTTGAGGAAAATGAAGAGAAATTTGAAAGAGGGAAAACACACAATCAACAACACACTTCTTGAAAACAAGGAAATTTTGAGTGAAAGCATTAGAAATTTGAGGAAAGCTGATACTTTCTTTTATGGCAGAGACTAAGAAATAAAAGTTTTCAAAGAGGAACAAAGAGGTAAGACTCTAAACCCAAGTGCTTACGTGTTTAGGGCCCATTTGGTGGTCAGAATAGACAGGACAATATATGATAGACTATCATATCTTACTCTTATCCATTGTTTGGTGAATTAATAGGATATGATAAGCTTATCCTATTAGCTCATTTTATCCTGTCCGCAGCAGGATAAGCTATCCTAATAGAGAACTCGGGTTAGTAATGGACAGGATAGAATAACAAATGTCACATCCCTCTCATTCCAAATATAGCCCTATGCTCTTATCCTACGAATTTTGATAGGCATGTAAGGGTCAACCTTTGCCACCGACGGCCACCTTTATCACTCACTAATGCCACCACCAACACTAACGACCATCACTATGAGCTATCAGCCACCATTATTATCATCAGCTACCACCACTATTGATTAGCCCCATAATTGCCACCTGTCATTGTTGGCGCCGCCGCCGCCACCACTTCCACCTGCCACCATCGCATCAACCACCATCGCCATTGTCGTCGCCATTGGCCACCGCTACCGCTATCAATTAGTCACCACAATCGCCACTGATCACTTCCTACTTATCTAGTGCACATCAAACACAGAATAGGATATGAGCTTCATATTCTATCCTGCTCTTATCTGGTCCTCTTAAGTCTTATTCTATCATGCTCTTATGCAGTCCTCTTAAGTCTTATTCTATCCATTCCTAACCTATCCAGTCCACCAAACGGCCGTCTCTTTGATATTGGTTGTATTTTGTATCAAATATTTCAATCACATGACAGTCATCCACTCCTTTAACCATTAACATCATATATTCACAAACCATCTCACAATCATCAATCAATAGCCATTGTAAAAATTTGAAGAACAAATGAATAACATAAAGCCAGCAACCATTAACAAGCCAAAACAGTCACATCAATTGCTATTTCAACCCGGATCGATGCAAAGGTTGTTGCTTCAGCATGACAGTAATCTTATTCACTGAATCAATGAGTGTAAGCAAGATTAATCCTAAAATGAAGATAAAAAAAAAAACCTTAATCTTCCTCATGAGCCAAACCCTCCTTTTCTATGTGCTATCCGTTCTGTGTTCTCCACTCCAATCCAATTAGTTCCTTCTTTGAGTGCCTCCTTGTCGGGCATTGTCTCCACCTTCATCTACCCTCCTTGAAAATAACGTTTCTGATCATGTCCTAAAGCACGGGCATTAGGTGACCATGATAATAATCGTAATAATATTGAGGGTTTGATGCTTATCAAAAAATTATTTCAAATTTGACACTGATGATGTAAAGGATCCTACTTCATACATATAAAGATATATGTGCTTATGTTATAAAAAAAAAAAAAAAAAAAAGATATATGTGCTTATATGCAACCATATAAAGAATATAAATAAAAAAAGTATGAGCCCCACATATTTGTATGGCTTTAATGTTTCTATAGTAAATATAAATAAATTATCTACATTCGCTCTCAAAATGACTTGAGCTGAAAAATTAAAAAATTATAATGAAAAGAACTATTATAACCTTGAAATAAATTATAATTACAAAAATACCTTAATTTCTGCCTCAAAACGACGTCGTTTTGAGCTCAATGCAGATAAGTTATCTACATCGACCGTAAAAAAGACGAACCTTGTTTTTATATATGTGTATGAAATAATTTTATTTTCTACAAAACGATAAACATTAATTCTTAATATTAATCTCTCACTTGTGTCGGTGAATTTGTTCGGGTTTAATTTTATTTGGTTTTTATAAGATTTTATACATTGCAAAATATAAAGAAAGAAAAAACTAAGCAATGAAAACAATTATTAAATTAAAAAGCCTGTAATATGTTTCTAAATTATTTGACCTAGACTTAGTTTGGAGTGAATTTAATGTGGTCCGGGAGTAGAGAAAATTGAATGGAACTAAGATGAGAGAAAAGGTTAAGGAGAGAGAAGAGAAAAAAAATAATACAGATGTCAATTATTGAATGGAAAGACTACGGTGATTCTGGAGTATATTAAAAAATTTCCTTAATTTTGGTTAGAAATTGATTGGTAATGCACTTCAAACAAGTATTTATATAAATTTAACATAATGAAGGTCTAACACGAACAACTTATGCAGTTTGTTGCTTATATTTATGTTTAATCATAGATCAAACCTGTGTAAAAGGTTCTTTCAAATTGAACAAGTAAGGGTAAATGGTGTGTATGCTCTTAATTAATTTAAAATATATCATAATTTAAATTTTTAGATTAAATAAAGATAAATATGTTCATACTTATTAATGTTAAATATAAGCATATTTAAAATTTAAAAAAAAAAAAAAAAAAACTCTGCAAGTAACATTTTGATCTTGCAATGCTTTTCAGCGGTATGGAAATAATTTCACTTTGGTTTTATTGATTTTGGCTTTTAATTGATCGATAAATTGAAATTAATAAATCGTTAAAGGCTTGACAGATATGATTGGGCTGGGCTATTTATAGATTGAAAACATATTAGTACTGAGTTGAGTTCTGCTCAGGGAATTTGAGATATGAAATTGTTCAAATACAAACTTAACCGTAACATTTGCTCAAGTTGCTACCTAAAAGAATCTTATAATGTATCAAGGAAAAAAAATCTTATAAAATAGGAAAAAACAAATATTATGTTGTAAGAAAATTCTTAAGTCATGTCATAGAGACAACTAATTGTGAGATCTACTATTTTTAAAATAAAAGAAAAGTAAAAGAATTGATGGGCTCACTTTTGTGTTTGTGTAGAAAAATTGTTTGTGTCATGTAAAAGAAGGAAAATATTACCCTATAAAATAACGCTTGTTTTTAAAACGATAGTTTTCTTTTTCTTCTTTTAAACCATGGTGGTTGTTAGATAATAAGAGACGAGAGAAACATTGAAATAAAGTTGTGTAATATTGAATTGATACACAATGTACAATATATAGACACATTAACGGGCTTAGCCCAAACCTAACACAAATCCTAATGAAATAAGAAAAAAGATATTTACAGATATACAAAAAATATTCTTTCTAACACTCCCCCTCAAGCTGGAGCGTATAGATCATATGCACCAAGCATGTTACATATATACTCTATTCGAGGACCCCTCAACGACTTTGTAAATATATCTGCTAATTGATCATTAGAGGGTACAAAACTATTTGTAATTTCACCAGCAAGAACCTTTTCTCCAACAAAATGACAATCTATTTCTGTATGTTTGGTTCTTTTATAAAACACTGGATTTGACGAAATGTGCAGCACTGCTTGATTATCACAAATAAGAGTTGCTTGTCCAGTGTCTCCAAACTTAAGCTCTCTAAGAAGTTGCTTAAGCTAAATGAGCTCGCAAGTAGTAGTAGCCATAGAGCGGTATTCTGCTTCAACACTTGATCTGGCAACTACGTTCTGTTTCTTACATTTCCAGGAAATCAAGTTACCTCCAACAAAGACACAATACTCAGAAGTAGATCTCCTATCAGCTGGACAACCAGCCCGATCAGCATCAGAGTACCCAACCACTTTAACATGACCTTTATTTTCATATTCAAGGCCTTTCCTGGAGATGCCTTGATATACTTAAGAATACGAATGACAACATTCCAATGTTCTTGACATGGAGAATTAAGAAATTGACTGACCATACTGACTGCAAATGAAATGTCAGGCCAAGTGACTGTGAGGTAGTTCAATTTTCCAACTAATCTTCTATACTGCTCAGGATCTGAAAAGTACTCCCTCTGATTTGGTAGAAGTTTGACACTTGGATCCATAGGAGTATCAATAGACTTAGAATTTAACAAAGCAGTTTTTTCAAAAATATCCAGAGAATATTTCCTCTGAGATATCACAACTCCATCTTTAGATTGGGCCACCTCGATTCCCAAAAGATATCAAATTTTCCCAAGATCCTTGGTCTGAAAATGATGACATAAATGTTGTTTCAACTGAGTGATCCTATGATTATCACTACCTGTGATGACAATATCATCCACATATACCACCAGGTAAATAGATCCATAAGCTGAATGACGATAAAAGAGAGAATGATCAGCTTCACTTCGAATCATGACAAATTGTGTAACAACACTGCTAAATTACCAAACCAAGCTCTTGGATATTACTTGAGACCATATAGAGACTTCCGAAGATGACAAACAAGACTTGACTCTCCCTGAGCAACAAATCCAGGAGGTTGCTCCATATAAATTTCCTCCTCAAGATCACTATGAAGAAAAGCATTTTTAATATCAAGTTGGTAGAGAGGCCAGTGGCGAATATCAGCCATGGCAGTAAAGAGGCGAACAATAGACGTTTTTGTCACAGGAGAAAAAGTATCAACAAAATCCAATCCAAACACCTGAGTGAAACCCTTTGCCACCAAGCGAGCTTTA